TATATATATATATATATAAGTATATCGATCTAATTTCGGATCGAAATTCCATACAGATGTGAATGATATAACTTACCGGGCATTTGGGATAAAAATCTCTGCTTGCGAACGGTTTGGTTAATGACATCTGCAATAAAGAAGAGAAGATAGAGAGAGAGAGGGAGGAAGGGAGGGAGGGAGAGTGTATTAGTCAAAGTGGAGACATAGAGATAAAACCTTTTATTTTTGTTTTAAGTTGCAACAACACAAAAAATGAGATCCGGCAATTTTGAATTTTACTTTTTAACTTCAACTTAGAGATTGCCCAAGTGTAGTAGTTAAAGGGATGCAATTGTGAGGTGGTTAATAAATATATATATGTATGCATATAATTACATGAGTTTATCAGCTTTCGAAGTTGGTGCTAGTATTCGTACCTTGGGACTCTTTTCAACCACATTTCACCACCTAAACAATTGCATACCTTTATCCCTCTTTAACACTACTTATTAGCATATATTTATGAGATACCAAAAAAAACACATGAAAGTACCATATGTATCTTCTTTTGACGGTGGGGGAGGCGGTGTTGGAGCCTGAGGAATATGGTCCCTCTTCGATTTCGAGTGCTTCTTGTTCTTCTTCTTCCTGCCCTTTCCATCGGAGCTCCTCCCACTGCTACTTGAAGATGAACTACTTGAGCTTGAACTGCTTGAACTGCTGCTTGAGCTCGAACTTGATCGTCCAGATTTCTTCTTTCTTCGACTGCTCTCTTTCCGCTTGTGCCGATTAGATCTGCGTGGTGATGGTGATGAACGCCTTCTACGATGTCCTGCATTCTCGTAATCCATATAGTAAGGATCCATGGGATTACGCCCACCACGTAGGGGCATTGATGAGTACAGTCCACCATAGGGATCATGCTGCAACATGCCCGGACCTCCCATCATTGGACCCATCATTGGTTGGTTCATGGGGAAAGGCATAGGGACAATGACAGGTTGAGGAGGGGGTGGTGGCTGAGTTTGAGGCGGTTGGGTCACCAGATAATGAACCTGAAAATTGAGTGGATAAGTTAGGGGCCATCGCACTGATCGTCCAGTGGGGTGGAAGCCTCTTTGATTCATCGCGATTTGGATGTAAGAGTGAAAAAATGGATTTTATGCCCCTCTTGTGTCGAGAATGCAAGCAAGAGCGACTTTCACTCACCACTTACATAATGATTGGCGAAAATCTATCCCTAATCTGATTGAATAATCCTATTTCAATTGCCATTGCTTGCCTCACACATTTTAACTTAATTAGTTATTGTGCGTAATTCCTAGACCAAAATATGTGTCTTTTAGCCTCAAACTCCTTCCACCAATCATTTTCAAGGTCAATGAGAATCGTGGTCCCCAATACCAACTTTGGAAGGAGAATAAAGACACCATGGAACCCCTGAGATTAATAAATCCGTTATCTAACATCCTCCAATCAGCAATGCGGTTGGGATTCCAAACATTCCTATCCTCTTCTTTGATCCTCTAAAGACAAACATCAATAACTGAGATTCCGATATATTGTAAGATACAAAGAACGTAGGAAATAGTTTCGTAGCCGAATGGAAATAGAGCGCGGATCAGTGAAGTAGGCAACTTTGGGAGATTAGCGTGGTAATTTGCTAGATCAGGCTATGTTAGCAGCTTTACACTACTCGCAAGGTAAGATAGCCTTCCTCTCCCATAGCCTGTAATCTATTTTTACATTTATCTTTCAGGGGTGCACGATAGACTTACCTCCACGCGGTAAGGAAAGTCTATAAATCGACAGTTGACTTCTGACTTCAGACTACTATGGCCCCAATGTATGTCATATCCGACCACTTCCCCAGTACTCATCCTACCTTCTCTCTACCTTTGTGTCTGTCTCTATATCATCTGTGAATCACTCTTCTTTTCCCCCTCTCCACTTTTTTCACTTTGATGTTCCTTCTCCCCTCTGTGAAGCCCGAAGTCAACTAAAGGGCTAATGATAACTATCGAAGCACCTGCCATTGGATATAAAAATAAATAAACTTTCATCTTTTATTCATCGATTTAGCTTCATGACCCCCCCCCCCAACTTATAAAGCCTTATCTCTATGATCCATCGCGAGATTTTTCTGCCGATATGAGGTAAACATAAATGTTCACAACTGAATTGAGATAATTTGATTAATATATCATACCGGTGGGGGTCTCGGAGCCTGGTTTTGATTACTGACCGAAGGGACCACAATAACAGATGGTTGGCCATTGGCTCCATGATGAATTATTGGCTGTCCGGTTTGGCGCTGCTGTAAAGGCTGGACATTCATGGCTTGATACTGCTGTCCACTGACAGTCGGCGGCTGCTCATGTCTAGTCTGTGGTGGTGGGGAGATAGAATGGTGATTGTGATGATGTTGATCACAACAAGAGGCACACGACCGATGATTTTCATTTCGTGAGTAGTTACTTTGACGGCGATAATCTCGATCGTAGTTATCGTCCAAGCTACCAGTGTCAGAAGACTCTGATAGTTCAGTCTCGCGGGCCTTCTTGAACTTACGAGCCCCTGCAGTGCTTCGCTTAGAACTGCCAGTTAACTTCTTCTCCTCTGAGAACTTTGATCTATTTCTTTCTGCAACGCGGCGTCCTGATCCAGTGGCTTGATCCTCCAGGATTTCAATGCATCTTCGTGGGACATGACCTGTTTGTCCCGTTGGTGTTCGTAAACAACACCACTCTCCATTATCATCCAGCATCTAAGTGATGATATGACAATAGATTAGTCCGATTGGCACTTAATTTATTAATTAGCAATAACAAGATAAATTTCCAAGCCCAGTTAGGCAAGAGTTTTTTTTTAACACCCAGTAGCCTGACTCAGACGCATCAACTCAGACTCTATTCCAATTCTCGAATTTTAATTCCCGCAGAGTGGGCTGTCTGCCCAGGGGTTCGGATATGTCTCCATGTCAAAAAAGAAACAATTATAATCTTTCCAGTTGAAAGCAACTGAATTAACATATTCTCCCCCACCTATCAGCCATATTAATTGAGTATTGATTCTAAATCTGAGTGTATTCTATGCCAAGAGATTTCCCTTGATTGCACTTCAAAGAATTAACCTATTGTATCTCGAGGGGGTGAAATTGCACTTTAAAAACTTAGCATTAAAGCTAAAGGCTTTGCCTCTCCAATTAACAGGAATTCATTTGCTGTGATTGCCTACTTTCCAAGCGAAATATAATCCGATTCCTGACGAGTCAGTTTAAATGGAAGTTGATCTCTTAATCTCATTCAAATCCTTAAATCGATCGGTAAATAAGTGCTTATATTTTTTTCCTTTATTGGTTTACACATCTGCAATATTAAGATCGTGCTTTCTCAGCATTTTGAGGAAATTGAATTGAGGTAGGAAACTCAACTCCCTACAAACTCATAAATGGTGAATATCGTGAAAAAAGACAAATAATACAATCAAATGTAGTGAGACTAACTCTGCTTGCAATATCTTTCAATCGACTTGATTTCAGTCGCTTTTGGGTGATAAAAAACAAAGAAATAAACATTTTTCTTGCACTGAGTTATAATGAAAATGTATCTTAATATATAGTAAAGTGTTTAGTAAAACAAAGGCCTGAATCAATGCAAGCCAAAAAAAGTATCGGCTTCTTAATATCAGACACGTCAAGCCCATGAAAACGTATTGGACCTTTTTGCACTTATTAAGATATTTCAGTCAGACAGAAATACCGGACACTCTCTATGCATAAAATTGAATCCTTAAAAATTTATTAATAATTGTAGTTAAAATATATTAATGCTTACCTCGAGGACATCGCCAACGTTTACGCTCATCTCCCTAGCCGCCTCGCTGACATTCTTTTGCTTTGCAATGACCAATCTAGAAAAATAAACCAATCGCAATGAAGGTGGCAGAAGCGCATATTTCAAAGTTGAAGCTTAAAAAGGACTTACGTTCCACCACGAGATCTGACTTCTCTGATAAAAACTTCCATATCAATCGCCTCTTCTTTCTTCTCTGGTGGAGCATTTAATGCTGTAAAATGGAGGGGGAGGGGGGGGGGGTCGGAGGAAATAATATTTAAATTCGCCATTTTTATAATAAATTTATCTTTTTTTAAACTTTGTCATTCCTTAAGAAAAAAAGGGGGGGGGGAAAGTAGAGTAATTCTTGTGCATGTCATTCTGAAAGATCGAAAACACCAACTGAAACAATCTTTTCACTTCGAGTGATTTAGCGAGAAGAACCGCCTTGGCATTCTACTGGTCATTCCATTAAAATCGGCGTGATATCAACTCAATAAGGTAATTAGTGAAATCGAATAAGTCAATTACGGCGTGCTAATTTTAAATAAACTTAAGTGGTCACCAATTTTTGTGACTAAATTAATTAGTCGTCAGGCGAGTAAATTGGTAGATAGCATCTTTACATCGATTTTTTTTGGTCGTGTTAAGTCGTGTACACTTTTTCACAGACTTTTCGCATGCTTTAATGAAATTATTTATTGATTTTTCTTCTGAGCTCAAAAATAGAATCTAATATAAAGGAGAATTTAGGTGATTCTGAAGTCTCAAAACTCGTGGAATGAAATGAAAAAGTTGAATAGCGTTTCACACTTAAAGAAAACCCCTTAAGACGAAAATTTTACCTGCGATAGTTGGGCATTTCAAAATTATACATGCTTGAACACTTATTGAAGTGATTTCAAGGGGTGATTGAAAGAAAGGTGTTTTCCACTAATTGAGCTCCAAAATATCCTCGACTAAAATATTATTTGTCAGATTAAACTACATCCATCGAAAAAATCTGAGAGTGATACTTTAGATCAACAAATAAAAATTAAAAATTGTGATATTGCTGCCGTCTTATCAATTGAAATAGCAAGATCAGGAAAAACTGTAAATGGGCGATCATTTGTCCTTAAAATTTACTTATTTACCTTCTCATTAAAGTTTTTTTGTATTTTGTGGAGAATGCCAATTTTATTTCGTTAAAAATTATCCTCCTTATTCGAAGTAATGTTTCAGAGTGCTATTTGCAAATATATAAATGTATATTGGAGAGTCTTCTGACAAAAGAAAATAAACTTACAAGGAATTGGTTCTAAAAGTGATAAAGAGAAATTATTGCCAACTGTAAGAATATGATGACGTAATCAAGAGTATTTCGTTGTAAAGGAATAACGTACTGTAATAGCCATAGTCTTTAATAGTCATTTCTGGTTTAAAACCCTGAGATGAGGGAAAAGAAAAAAATCGATAAAAATTAATAATTAAGGAGATCGTAGGCCAAAATATATAATCATTATTATGCAAGGTAAGGAACTTACACTTCGTTCAATTTCATTAGATCTTGATGAGAGCATGAAATCTCCATCTGATCCATCAGGTTTGCCACTATTTCATGAAAAAAAAGTGATCAAATAATCCTGAAATATATTTTAGTAAAATGAATGACTTGGCAGAGCGCACTCGAGCGATTTGGGTGCGACTAAGAATTCTCTTTGTAAATTGCATCATTAGCCGACTAATTCAAGAATTAGTTTCAAAATATGAAATTAACAAACTTCAAAGTCATCGGACCTTGGATAATTGTTATATATATTGTAAAAATACGTTTAAGAGTAAACAATTTTGAACATAAATTCTCAAATTAAATTTAAACTAGGAAGGGGGAGGGGAGGGGGAACACGAACTATATATTTGGGAGAAGGGGGGGGTGTTTGACTCAAAATAATATCGAAAAAAATTAAAATAAAATAAATGAATACAAAAACAAATGAAAGGAGAAGGAGGAGTATTGCGGTCTTTCACTAGTTGATCAAGGATAATTAACATTAAAAAATACCATATCCTAATTTCTATTAACAAATCTCAGATACTCATGTCAGATTCGTGTCATTCAATGTGTAACAACATATTTGCTTTGAAAAGAATAGTCGAACCTACTATTGAATTGAGCCCTGTACTCTACGTAGTCTAACTGGAATCCAGTAAGTCGGTGTATCTTTGAGAGCCATTTCATTGAATGCGATCGGAATAATACGTTTTGAGTATAAATATACCTTCCCTCCCCCCCCCTAACGAATTTGAGGATGTTATTTTTCTATATTATTAGATTATAGCTCATATTTCTTATTAACAATTAATGAGATTAGCATACAAGTTCTGATTCGGCAGAAAATAAAATAAATGTACGTATATTTTTTTCTTAAATTACCCTGTGAAAAATATAATTTGATCAAATACACAATTGCTTAAAGCTGGAATTGGCGCACTAAAAGTTTGAATCCCATTTCAAGGCCATTAAAAGTGTAGCTTCTTCAAGAAACTCTATTTCAGTAGTTTGTAACGGTTCATTAGATTCGAATCTATGATTCATGAAAAAAAAACGCTTCACAGCTTAGTCAAGATTCTTGATGCAATTTTTTCTCTGTTGAGAATCACTGAGTAATCACTATTAGAAATAACTCAATTATAGTCAAAGACGTAAAATAGTTCAATCAGATCCTAAATTGACATGTGATCCCAGTGGTCAGAGGCGTGACATGACAATTCAAAAAATTTTGTTAATAGATACATAAAATTTAAAAATTTAGATTCACTCATTATTTTCCTTGAGGAGATTTCAAGATATGAGTTTAAAAACGCTGATGATTATAAATTTTAAAATTATTTGGATGTCACAGTTCTCAAGTTCTCTCCCCCCTGTTCCAATTCAACTCCCTATTTAATTAAAACGAATTTCCCCTTCTTCTGAGTGATCTTCAAGGAGTTTCAGTTAGCTCAAATCGAAGTGTTTTGGTGTGGCAAAAACACACAAGTTGAGACCAAAAGAGAAACCTACCCCGGAACAGTCCAAGCTTTTCCAAGCGACTGCCAAAAAGACTTGTTTCCAGCTTGAAGATAGTCTGAAAGAGTTCGAACGGCTTTCTCGGTGAAAGCAGGACGCCATACCGATCTCACGAGATTTGGATCATAGTGAAGTACTCTATTTCCGTCACATATTTTCTGAACCCACCAAACTGACTCCATGAGTCGATTCAATAATTCTCCCGGTCCTGGGTCCTGGATATGATCCCGCAGAACTGAGGCTACATTGATGCATGTTCGGATCCGTTCAACATGCGCCACTGCAGCTTCATATGATGGGGGATTCAAGCTGTCCCTCCATAATGTTTCTATTTAATAAAACAAATTAGCATTATTTTTGAAAAATTAATTACCTTTTGATTTCATCATTCAAATGTTAACTCAATAAAATAATTCAATGGTTAAAATGTCAAAGTGACATGTATAGACTTAGCACTGTAAAGATCGACAATCGATTAGTTGAATAGTAAATCATTCAGTATAATGTTAATGGTATAAATAGAGGCTCTTAAAAATTCCCACAAATGAAGATTAAGAAAATAAAAAACTCAAAACAAAATTTAAAGTTGAAACACTTTAAAAAAGTAGAATTTGACAAATGTATTCGAAGAAAGTTAGCACACATTTGCCAACATTTTTTTATAAAATTGAATTAACCCATTAAGAGCATCAATTTGTGAGATGTGAAAAATTGCAAGTTATTTTCGACTTCTAACTCAAAAGAACCCACAATGACGTGTTTAAGCTGTTATATGAACAAATAAACAATGTACCAAAATTTTTTTTACTAAGCTTTAACACTAGATATCCACGATTTCGTGCCAAAATAATTTCTATTTGGCATACGATTAAATGTTAGAAGTACTCTGATTTAAAATGCTAAAAATTAGACAACTGCACGAGTAATTGAGAAGTGAACCACTAAAAAATAACTTTGATTTTAGAAAAAAATTTTCTGCAAGAAAACTGAGACACGGACTTTAATGCGAAAGTTAAGACCAAACAATTAGGCAACTCAGTGGCAAATTTTAAAATCAAATATGCACAGTACTTATTTTGAATGAAGTGAAATGATTATTAGCTTAAACGCGTCTTTATTATCCATCTTTCACATGAAATTTACTCATAATATATTGATGATTTAAAAATATATATATATATTGAGCAAACTAATATGATTCTTACACATACACTCACATATATAATTATTTACAGAACGTTTATAAATGTAATTGTTATAGATTTTTACCCACCTTACTAACGCTAATTATTAATTAAATAAAAAATCGCGACTACGAAATAATCCATAGTTTTAATTTAAATGCGGAAATGACTTTAAAGTATTAATCTTGCCATTTATCTAAGTAAATATTCCCAAAGTAATACAAATTACTGCTAAAATTATATATTAGATAAAAACTAGTTAATTAGTTAAAAAACGATTTCAAAAGAGAGAATGATTAATTATTGCTCATAGTAGTTACAACAAGAAGGATGACTCTTATTGCGAAATTGGCACTGAGATAATTGAATAAACTCAGTGTCGTGCAACTTGAAATTACACGATTGTCTCGATTGAAAGCGCCAAGACATCAAAATATTTCCTTGCATTTGGGAGCTGGTTTCACTAATCTCATTCTCACAAACTAGTAATGAACGAAACTACTTTGTCTATAATAAATCAAATGAAACCATACTGAAGATTTAAAAAGCGCGCATATATAATGGGGGGGGGGGGGGGGGGAGGGTGGGAGATGAAAAATCTAAAACTACAGCAGCTTACTATCAACTTTTGTTGCCCCGGTGACTTGGAAGGAAACAGCGTCATGCAAGAGAGATTCAAAGTTTTCGATTTCATCAAAAAGTTGATTTAATTCCTCCAATTTTCCCGTTGTTCCAACACCAGCACCCTATTGATGAAAAGGGATTCATTATAAATTTGCATTAATTTAAAACCAACATCTCGATTGTGACGTTTAATTCGATCTGGCCGGTTAATTGCATCTTTCTTCTTGGACATAGTTCTTGTAGGTTGATGACGCGGTTTCGCCTGCTGTTTTACTGCCCGACTAGCATTACAAAATGGAAAAATGTAAAGAAGAAAGTTGAGGTAACCTACTTTGCATTTTCTACAGCATCATTAACAATGTCGATAACCCATTTCAGCGTTCTTGTATCGTTCATTGAGAAAATGTGAACTTCATTGGGTGCCTCCCCATCGGTAATTTTTCGGGCAAGGAAACGAAATACAAAAAGTTGGGGATATTCTGTGCCTTTACGGGACCAGGAGTACCCATGAACGTCCTCGATATAACAGAGATCAAAGCATTCAGATGGATTCTGTTCGCCATCTACTCTAACGGTGAGATACTCACCGTCAACAATACGGAGATAACATTCGAGTAATGTTCGATTTGGTTGACTGGCCACAGCCTCTAAATTGTACATAACCTCTTCGTCTCCGAGTTTATCGTGCTCAAGGAAGCTTGCGATATGTTGAGCACTAACTTCTTCATCCATTCTGGTATGTATCTATTCAAGGAAATAGAATAAAACCACAGGAAAATTAATTTAGCATAATATCAAAAATATGAAATGGCATAGATTAACAAGACGTGCTTTAAATAATACCTCAACTGAAATAAACAGTTAATTAACAACAACTATTATAAGGAGAAGTAATGCCGATCAAAATTTCAAAAAATCATATTTGTGTTTTAAACCTGACTTACATTTTAAAAGACAAGTCTACAATTTGGGACTTCGAACCAAAAATTCCAGCTGAAATGTGTTGAAGTAACTTTTAAAAAGGTGATAAATACCTCAAGGAAGAGTAAAATGTTAGTTTTATATATTTAAACAAATAATCAAAATTCTAAAACAAAATACACTAAGCCATCGTCATTGACTTGAGTTTAATAAAAATTATATATATTATATTAGTACAAATTGTGCTTCAAAAGAGTGTATCTGACCATTTTACTGTTTCATATTCAACATTCCAGCATATGCTATCACCACTGGAAATCACTTCCAGCTTGATTACATATTTAACCTAAAGCTACATTTATAATGCTTATTTAATAAAAATTTAAGGCTTTGTTTAACCATGACATTCAAAGCTACTGATTTTTTGTATGAATTTATTGCTTCTTCATTCAAAATGCCTTCGAACATGTGATGTGTTAAATCTGTCACAGTGTGACCCATTAAATTCATTAAGATTCATGCATTTTCGCTAATTTTCAAATGTTAAATGTTTAAATAAATTATTCAAACTTAATTTGGGAAAGAAGTTGATTTGATACCAATCCGTTACTGATATTAACGCATGAAAAGATTTCAAACGGCACTTTCCAAAAATATTTCCGCTGCTTGCATGCGACAACGCCAGACATTGAGCACTGTCATCATGCCTGTGGAAGTTAATAAGGTTTAAGTAATAGAAATGAATAAATATAGTTGGAAGGGACTCATATTGAATATTCTACTTTGAACTTAACAGGAAAATGGCTTGCCTAGGCTATACTAAAATACCAACAAAATAGCTGAGCAAAAACAAATAGTTTCAGTAAAATACTAATGGTCATTAGAGGTCAGATTAAGTTTCAAATCTAGTCAATAGGCTTTGTCCTTCAATCTCTTTAAGGTCAGTTGATTCCTCGAAAAGTCATACAATTCCCTATGAGTCTTTCTATATATTAATTGTATCTAGGTATAAAATTGAATAAACATTGAAGGCTCCTCAAGTTCTGTTCCTTTGAGACGCATGCTCGACCCAATATAATGACAAGTTTACATATATTATAAATTTCACAACTTTGGATTAAAATTCTTATCAATTTTCGACACTTTAAATTTGTTAATTATGAACACACTCCTGGTGACACCCAATTTTTTTCGGTCTTTACCACATTTCTAAACTGTGGTTAATAAAATAATTTCTCCTTTAAGAGTTTACCGAACTTAATCAGAAGCATCTTCTTTGCTGATAGGCTTTCTTGTGATTTTACCTTTCCTTACCAAGGGAGTTTGGAAATTCATTCACGTAGTGGCTAATGTGCTAATTGCAAATATGCTAGCTAGAATACTGAGTATATTATTTGGCATTTAGTGATTGAACTTAAAGAACTATTTACAAAGCGTTTATTAGCGTCAAAAAAATTTTTCTTATCAAAGTATTTTTTTAATTTTTATCTACCGTGGCACTCAGGCATTGTGAATTATGTTATTCCGAATAATCAAGAAATGTTCTAATTCTTTAAACACCTGTGCTCATTTTTACAGTTAGTTTCTACTCCCTTGTAATATCTGAATGGTATCGTTTTGTCTACGGAATGGAACTAATTTTTGTATCGAAGTCAACACTATCATTCAAGATTTAAGAGTGCACTTGGATATCTTGATGAATGATGATAAATTCTAATTTATCCAAAGGGTGTGTCGAAATACAGGCCATTGAATATGTGTTTTCCCTAGAAAGTATGCAAAAAAGTATCAGTCATTTTGACTTCTACATGTTGTGCATCCTTTTCAAATGAATTTAGGGTTCCTTGAACATAGCAAATGAAAATAATTGACAGCTTAAGTGCTAGTTACAGCGGATGAACGGAATTTGAAGTTTCAATCTCAAGTAGTCAATCCTCAAAACAGAGCATCTTTTAGTGCAACTAATTTGTTCACACAATTCGGCATACGACAAGGGCTTTGTTCCGACACTAATTGTTTTTTCTCGAGGTTCACCAAAAAATTACTTGTACATTTGATTTTGTTGGAAGAGCATTAATACAATTTTACCTTTGACGAAGAACGCACATTTACCGGATGGTGAAAAAAGTTTATTAAAACCATTTCAGTCATTTCATGAACTCCCAATGCTAATAAGCCTTCTAAATCAATAACATTTTATGTTCTCCAAAGGCATGTTCAATAGCCATTCCTCTATGTTCATGAAATACTTCTTTCAATTTTCCTGATTATTCTTGAAATTCTTTAAAATCAATTATCATAACAATTTAACTTGCGATAAACGTATAGGTAAATTGTATATTCGAGCACTCACATAAGACTTAAAGGTGTCTAATTAAATTAATAAAAATACTTCAGGTTCAATTTTTTGTGCTTGGCTACCTTTCAATACTTCCGCATAAGAGATAGATACGATCATAGGTGATTATTAATATTAAAACATTTATTTATGCCGATTGGAAAACGTTTTGATAGTTATCATTAGCCCTTTAGTTGGCTTCAGGCTTCAAAGAGGGGAAGGAGCATCAAATTGAAAAAAGTCGAGTGGGGAGGGGGGGGGGAAACAGAAGAGTGTTTCAAAGATGAAAAAGAGACAGAGGTCAACTGCCGGTTTATAGACTGTTTTGTCNGGGGGGGGGGAAACAGAAGAGTGTTTCAAAGATGAAAAAGAGACAGACACAAATATAGAGAGTAGGGTAAGGTGAGTATCTTGGAGGTAGTCGAATATGACATACAGTGGGGTGATGGTAACTTGAAGTGAGAAGTCAACTGCCAGTTAGTAGACTTTTTTGCCGTATGAATATACGTTGCCCAGGATGCACCACTTGGAGGTAAGTCTATCGCACACCCCTTATAACTAGACACAAAGCTGCCAATCAGCGGTCATCCACTCAGGTTGGTCTTGGTCCCGTTGACTATGTCAAACAGTCATTCTCCGTGGCGAGACGCTACGGATTGACTACCGAATCAGTGTTTGACAGCTTTAACTAGTAAAAAAACTGTTTGTCCTATCATCGTTCTGCGGGACATCGAAAATATGACCCAGTATTGTGGAGTCAGTGTTTTTTTATTTACTGATCTCAAAGTCACCATTCGTTCTTATTATAAGGCAAAATCTAATTAGGTTGGATTGGCATATTCTCAACTCTTAAAAGTGAGCAATTATTGCTTTTCAACTTACAATTACATTTAGTGTTTTGTTTGGTTCACATCCACATGAATGAAATTTGATGATAACTGCTGCTCTCTTCATCGTGCCATATAATTTAATATTTTTTTGGCATTTAGTCTCCTAATCAAACCACTATGCTTCCTTTGAAGCGAGACCTTCACCAAACCAACAGGGCAATACAGCGCTAGAAGTTAACGTATATCAATGCCACAAATGTGGGATGTGCGGTAGACTTGCCTCCACGTGGTGCACCCTGGACAACGTATACTCATACGGGGTCTATTAACTGGCAGTTGACTTCTGACTTCAAATAAAAGTCTATCAATCGGCAGTTGACTTCTCACTTCAAACGAAAAGTCTATTACCCGGCAACTGACTTCTCACTTCAAACTACCATCACCCCGCTGTATGTCATATTCGACTCTCATCTCACCTTTTTCCACCTTTTCTACCTTAATCTTTGAAACACTCTTCTGTCCCCCCCTCAACTTTTTCAATTTAATGTTCCTTCCCCTCTGTGAAGCCCGAAGTCAACTAAAGGGCAAATGATAACTATCAAAACGCCTGCCATTTGATATAAGTACGAACCTTCCCTCTGTGAAGCCCGAAGTCAACTAAAGGGCAAATGATAACTATCAAAACGCCTGCCATTTGATATGAATTAAGTAAGTGCCACAAATATCGAAATTCTCTGGAATGATGATGGTCTTTCCATTCACTTAGCAACTTGACATGGTAAAGCTCCACTTCTTTGCTAAGTTAGAGGAAGCAAGGTATATTCTCCGAATCTACAACTGTTCTGTGTCATTAAAGTTGAGTTTTTTATTTTCATCAGTCGTTGGGATAATAACTATGTAATTATGCTTTCATTTCGTTTAAATTTGTGTCCTACGCAGTGCAAATTACTCAAATAACAACGCAATTGAATTCAGTTCAACTTCTGCCTTATTTTATAACCAGAGGTTTACAAGTTGTAATTAATACTTTTCGGTTCTTATGTAAACTTTTTTACTGATTAACTCTCCCCATTCAAGTATCAATTAAGTCGTTATTTGGTGAGTAGATTCACCTCTCGGAGTCGTTTTATGTCTGTAATTATTTCAACTTCTTCAATGAATTTACGCATAATGTAGTATTCAAAAAATATAACTCATGCCTAGAAAGTTTCTACCACCTCAATTGTGTCCGTTCGATAAATAAAGGCGCTTAAAACTAGACTGGCTGTTCAAGACATTTGGACACAGGCTTTAGGTATATTTAAGCGCGCACGGAGAGTATCACAAAACACAGGAAAGGTGTGGTTGGAACTTGGGAATTTCAGAGAGGGATTAAGAAGGCAAAAAGAGGGACATCAAGTGGAGGGAGTGAAGAGTTGGGAGGAGGGTGAGGCGATGGGACGATTCTGGTGTACACGTTGATTCGGAAAAATTGATTCGGCGCATTTGGCGTAAAAAGAATGAGGAGGGGGGGTGGGTGGGTTGGTGGTGGTGGGGTCTTACTTGTTGTGACAGTTCTACTTACTTTAAGTAAATTTTATATTAAAGATGACTGTTAGGGTTATGCGATTTTATGAAGGCGATAAATTCTAAGACGTGCTGTTGTTGGTGGTAAACATATTCTTCTTATGTGCTTAGAAGAAGCAAACTTCGTTCATGTAGTAACCAATTTGCTGGTTGTCTTCACCAAAATCGAACATCTTCATATCCAAAACGGGCAAAAGTTCTGGATGACTGGCCACAAGGTCGAAGCTGGCTGTTGAACCGGTCAATGAGCGATCCTATACAAAAGAAAGCAAAGAACATGTAACATTTTTCCCGAGAAAGTATAGATAATATTGCCTTTTTTGTTGTGTGGAAACTCACCATGCAGTCATCTTTAATGTTCACTTCCAGCTGGACGAAACCGCCTTCACCTCTCACACGTCGATCAAGATGGGTATTTATGACCTTACCATTGAACAACAGAAGGTTAGCTGCTGAGTTGTAGTCCTTGTTTCGACTGTCGTAGTAGACTACAGAGCCTCGACACAGAGCAGTAATTGATTGTTCTGCTCTATGATGGAGCAATTGCAAGAAGTTCAATTGGTTTCGTGGAGCGTAGAACAACTGCAAAGTCAAAAGCCCACTGTGTTTACTTAAATCTATTAGATAATCATGCAAGATAGATTTAATTGAGTGCATACGCGCTGAGTTCCATTGATGTTATCCTCCAAAAGTTTGGAGAACCACCAGCTGCTGTCAGAACTGCTCTTTTTAAGATTCGTTAGACGAAGCTGTATTGATAAATATATAAATGTTACTTGATGCTTAACAGTAGGTATATCAATCAAACGTAGAGGACTACTTACGGCCTTTGACTCAGGGGTGGCATGAACGCAAGTTTTGACTACATTGCCAGAGAACTTGCATTCCACTTTGATCGCATCACGATTAGAGCCCAAGTTCGGATCGATCCAGTATTCTCCAGAGACAGGACCATGCGGAGAGTCAGTTGCTTCAGCAATCTCTCGACAATGACGTGCTGGATACTCTCTTGTTCCAATCGGTCGTTGGTAGTATTTAACAGCATTCTCCAGACCCTCAATACGAGCATAGAGTCGTCTCAAGATAGCTCCAATACTAGGTAAGTTGTTGGGGAAGAGATTAGCATCGGGATCCTTCGTGTAACCGGCGTACAAATCGTCATCTTTGAAACTCTCATCAGGATTGACACTACGCTTAGTACGGGTTGGTTCAAATTTGATGTAACCGGCACTGATGTCGAGAATCTTGACGGGGCCGGGAGGACCTTGGGGACCTTGAGGTCCTTGTTTGCCCTTAGGACCTCGAGGACCACTTGGACCTGTCGGACCACGAACACCCATTGGGCCTTCAGGACCAGGCGGGCCGACATCACCAGGAGGACCTTGATTACCAGTGGGACCAGGTGGGCCTTGAGCTCCCTTAGGACCAATGCGACCCCTTTCACCTTCTACACCAGTGACGCCACGTTCACCACGTGGACCTGGAGGGCCCATTGGACCCGCAGGGCCGTAAGCACCTTTTTCACCTTTTGGACCTGTTTCACCCTTTTCTCCTTCTTGGCCGGCTGGACCCTGAGAAACGGAGGTATTACTCAATAGGATTTGGAATGTTCATCAGGAAATTTAAAGAAAGTAGTGGTATTCACTTACGGGGGCACCTTCTGAACCATCTTCGCCATCTGGACCCTTGACACCTTGTGGACCCTGAAATTATAAAGAAATGAGACTATAATTATTCCTTATTGACAGATTTACTACTCTATGGGGTCGAGATATGCACAGCACACATTCTGACTCCCAACTTTCGAGAACTAGAATTTGCCAAATCAGACTGATGCTCAAAAAGGTACTTTATTTAGCCTTGCCATTCAATATTGAATCTCCATCGATTTGTCTACTCTCCCTCCTTCTTCTTCTACTATCCAGTGCACTCTTTGAGCACCTCAATCCGTGTTCTTCTTAATTCAACGAGTTCTCTGTATCTTTTTAGCAAGTGTGCTTAGGATTAACGCGATTTTAATTTTTCTAGCTGAAATAAACTTGAAGACAGACTTCAGGCTCTCCTTGACGAATTGAGAAGGTTGCATCTGGACATCTATGAAAAGGTTTCTCAGTTCTCTAATTTTAGAGTTTGACCGCAACGTGATAGCCAAAAAAAAATATCTACACAGATTTCTGCCTCCATTTATAAAAAATTTCCATTACGATGCATTTTACGGGATGAAAAGAGAATTATTTAACCTAAAATTCTTGAATCAATTCCCTTGGTCTATTTCCTTCCTACGTTAGCAAGGCCTTCATTCGTTGTATTATTATAATGCATGTTAACTTCATTAATAAGTGGAAAACTGAAATAAAAATTACCTGAGCACCAGGTGAACCAGGTGGACCACGAAGACCAGGGGGTCCACTCAACCCTGGTGCTCCAGTTGGACCAGGCTCACCAGGGGGGCCCTGGGGTCCAATTTCACCCTTTGGACCCTTAGATCCACGGTTTCCAGGGAGACCTTGAGGCCCAGTCTGGCCGGTAGGTCCCTGAGGACCTTGTGGACCTGGAGGACCACGGGCCCCTGGCTTTCCAGGTGGGCCAGTACTACCGGGAGAACCATCTTCACCAACTGGACCTGGAGGGCCTCTCCCTCCGGGAATACCGCGAGCACCTTGTGGACCAGGGGGACCCATTGGACCCTAGAGAATAAATAAATCAACTGTAAAGTTTTCGGTGAGACTTATATTAACCAAGAGTAAAGTGAGAAAAGTAAACATACAACTGCTCCTTGTGGACCAACAGGACCTTCCATACCAGGATCACCAGGAGGACCAACTTGGCCAGGTGGACCATCAGGCCCCTTGCGGCCTTGTGGGCCTTGGTTACCAGGGGCACCAGGGTAACCTGCAGAACCTTGAGGACCCTGGGGACCCTTGTCTCCAGGTTCACCAACAGCTCCAGCTGAACCTGTTGAACCGGGATTACCTGCAGGACCTGTTAAACCCATGGCGCCCATTGAGCCAGCTGGGCCAGGACTACCTTGAGGACCCTCACGACCACGGTCACCCTTAGGTCCTTGCTTTCCAATAGGTCCAGGAGCACCCTCCATTCCCATTGGTCCAGCCAGACCAGCAGGACCTGTAAGACCCTCAGAGCCGATCAAACCCATAGGACCCATTTCTCCAGGTTGACCCGGAGCACCAGGGGGACCTTGAATACCCGGCATTCCAGCGCTTCCGATGGGACCAGTGATGCCACGAGGTCCCTGAGGACCAGTAATACCCTTCTTGCCTTGAGGACCAGCTGGACCGCGTTCACCTTTTTCTCCATCGAAACCCGGGGTACCAGTAGGACCAGTGGGTCCTGAACGACCTCGAGAACCACGTGGACCGGTAGGACCAATTGGACCCATAATTCCATCAGGACCTTTTGGACCCTTTTCACCGGGAACACCTGGAGCACCACGAGGACCAGCTGGACCGGGAGGACCAGTTTGGCCCATGAGACCTGAGTCTCCACGGTACCCTTTAGGACCTGCAGGGCCAACTTCACCATCAGGACCAGTTTCACCCTTGAAACCGTCTGGACCAGCTGGACCTGGCATTCCGTCAAGACCGATGTAACCACGGGGACCTCTTGGACCTGGAGAACCACGATTTCCACGTTCTCCTTTTGGGCCCTTGTCTCCTTTGGCACCATCCTTGCCTTCTTTACCTGGATCACCAGTTGGACCCTGAAGTAGGGAAAAATTTTTATGCGGAGAAGGAGACAATTTAGAATTGGGACTATATTAGCCATGGTTTAAGGCTGTGATTTTGGAAATTATTTTTAACTAATCCAATTGAGAATACCAACTGAAGAAAATGAAAAATGAATAGTTCGCTTAAAAATTCTAGTACTTTGGCTTGCGAAAAACATGATGATCGTCTTTGCGCATTGAGAGCTTTCTCAATTAACTTTTAATTGGTTTAATTGTGGAGATTTAACTGGACAAAATACTCCTAATTGCTTTACTCACGAATGCCTCGAGGAACAAGACGCTGACATTAATAACATGGGTTGCGCAACATCATTTTGCTTTGAAATCAAGATCTCAGAATTTCTCAATCCTTTTCAACGGTAAAACGCTGCGGTATGCACCTCTTGTTTTAAAACATTTTTTGATATGACTTAAATAGTTTTAATAATAATAACGAATCATGGTTCATGAAACTTACACGAGGCCCAATAGGTCCAGGGGCACCCTCAGGACCTGTGTCACCAGTTGGACCAGCGGGACCAGTCATACCGATTGATCCACGAGGACCAGGCGGACCAACTTCTCCGGGTTCACCTCTTTGGCCGGGAAAACCTTGAGGACCTTGTCTGCCAATTGGACCCTACAAAGTCGAAGCGGCGCAACATAACGGGCAGTTCCCCGCAAGTCATCAATAGTTTACATCAATTCAACTTACAGCAGGACCGGGTAAGCCAACTGGACCTGGTTGACCTTGGAAGCCCATTTCCCCAGTGGGACCCGGAGAACCAGGGGGTCCAGTAACACCTTGATCACCCTTCTCTCCAGCAGGACCAACCTTACCCTGTAGACCACGTGGGCCGGAGGCACCGTGCTGACCCTGTTCACCATCAGCACCAGGTGGACCAATAGGACCTGTTTCACCTCTGTCACCCTCCCGACCTTGAGGTCCAGCAGGACCAACGGGTCCAGGATCACCATTGAGACCTTGAGGGCCGGCAGGACCCATGAGACCACTTGGACCTTGGGCGCCGCGGTCACCACGAGGTCCAGATTCACCGGCCTTTCCGGGTTCTCCTTTTTCTCCCTGTGGGCCCATTACACCCATAACACCAGGGGAACCACGGCTACCCTTTAAACCCTTGGGACCAGCTTCTCCTTGAGCACCGATGGCGCCTGGTTTTCCGGTATCTCCCTTAGGACCAGTGATGCCAAATGTACCACGGGAACCCTTCATACCACGGGGACCAGGTAAACCAGGCTCACCCTTTTGACCAGCAGCACCTGCATCTCCCTTAGGGCCTACTTCGCCCTTAGGACCGGGGTAACCAGGATTACCTTCTGGGCCAGTGGCACCAGGAGGACCTTGTTTACCTGGGGGACCAGGAGGGCCAGCAGGACCCCGAGGACCTGCAGGACCTTCTGGGCCAGCGGGACCAGGGGGACCCATAGGTCCGGCCATACCAGTAGGACCAGGTTCACCGGCTTCGCCTTGGAGACCAACTGGACCTCGGCTGCCAGTTTTGCCACGTGGACCGAGAGGACCTTGAAGACCTACAGGACCACGAGGTCCATATGGACCCATGTCACCTTGATCACCTTGGTCGCCGGTGGGACCACGAGGACCCTCTTCTCCAGGTGCACCCTGTTCACCAACTGGACCTATGGGACCACGAGGACCTTGCAAGCCCTTGGGACCCATCAAACCAGAGTCTCCAGGTAAGCCATCTGGGCCTTTTGGACCTTGTGGTCCAGGGTCACCACGGTCTCCATCGCGGCCTGTCTTTCCCTACGCGAAGAGAAATAAGCATGTTCGGTGATTACTTGATCAAGCACAAACGATGTATATTAATCAAAGTTTAAACTTGCTCTAGGTCCAGGAAGACCAGTGGGACCCATTGCACCACGTCGACCTTGAAAACCAGTGTCACCTTGAGGACCAGTCTCGCCCTTAGGACCAGGTGGACCTGTTGGACCATCTGGACCAGTGGGACCCGTCAAGCCTCGGGGTCCACGAACACCGCGAAGTGACTCCTAGGAAAGCCGAATACAACGTTAAACACCATCATTCAGTTAGTTGTTTTACATAGGTAAGTTGACTTACTAAGTGTTGTTGAAGAAGCTGTCGGAAATGGGCAGCCCGTGCATGGGCGCCGCCTCCGATGCCCAAATTAAGGGGCACCACGAAGAGCGAGCCAACTGGACCCGGGGGACCTTGCTCTCCATCAGGGCCACGGGGACCCGGTTTGCCCTAGATTAGAAATAGAAGTTTAAAGAGCATTGATTTGATCAACAATTCCCGATATGTTGAACTTACGGGGTCACCCTTTTCTCCCTGTTCTCCAGGATCGCCTTGTTCACCTGGTTCTCCCTAAAACGATGATCGAATTGGTGTATTAATACTTCATTCAGCACTTATTGACTGTAGCAATACCCTTGTTACTTGTCACTTACTTGACCAGGATCCAAATGAATAGGCTGTAAGTAAAAATAGGTAAGTGAGGAGTTGATTGATGGAAAAGCTGCGAATTCAATGAATCAACAACTTACTTCATCATTCATCACGGCATCATCACCGTCTGTAGGACAGTTGGGTGTATAGATGAGACACTGCTGTTCAAGGCTTCGATCACCCTGCACGAACATCAAATCTTGCAGGATACCCTACAGACATATGAAGGGAAGTGATTAAATTTGCAACGATTATGATAGACACAATTCAAACTTGACGCTTTAAGTCAAAAAGTAGATGGGATGAGTCCACCAAAATCTATTCTATTCTTTGAGGCAATTTTGTGGTTGCTTGATTTAAAATAGAGTACTGTCTTAAGAATATTGTCATTATTTCTCTCGACTTACATCAAAACCGGAGGGTAGAAGGCTGAGTGTATTGCGCCCATCGGTGAATTTGACTGGAAGCACAGTGGTGTAAGAGTCCAGGGTCTTGCAGTCTAGGTTTAGATACAATCGTCCATTTTTGAAGTTAAGGCCGACTCGATGCCATCTGAAAGGTAAATATCAGGAGTAAAATGACTCAACTAATGGAGTAGATAGACTTTCACTAACTGATCATCATTCAGAGCAGGACCGATCTTCTCAGAGCGCATGGCATTTACAGAAGTGGAAATGCGTGCTGCACGGACACCGGCTGCAGCCTCATGATAGGAGACAACAAAGTACCCGGATTCGATTCCAACTGAGAGAAGTATTCGGCCTTGAGAGCTGAAAATGGTGAAGAGCTCGGACTTTCCATGACCACGTTTCATTTTGAGCGTCAAGAACACCGACATCTCCTGAGACCAGTCAACTAATTGAAAGGAAAGTTCAGTAAGCTGATGTTGGGAGTTGGGGGGGGGGGGGGGGGGGGNGGTGGGTGGGTGGGGGCTATTGGCTGCGACTAAAGCTCACCGGTTTTCGGGAGGATGTCAGAGAGGAGTCGTTTCATCTCAAGACCCTGCGGGACGATATATCCTGGACGCAATTCGTCCGGAATGGGTGCTTTTCCAGAAGCCTCATCTTCTGAAGGCATTTGGCCACACTTGCCTGAAGTTATTTGAACATTTGCTTGGTCGCCTAATTTAAAAGCGGACAACAAATCCACAGAACCTATGAAACAGTGGAAGTAATAACGAGTTAAAGTAGATAAAATTTGAACTTTGAAAATTATTTTTTACAAAAGTCATGTCTCTAGGAAAGTGGAAGGCAAAGAATTTCGATTAATCAATGACTTTTGATGCTAGACTTTCCATATTTAGGAACGAATTTTTGATTTTATCCCTTGCTATTAAATCGAGTAAATGTTAGCACAAAATGACATATTGTTTGCCAATGATAAATAAAAGTAAATAATAATTGATAATCGTTCCATTCCGGCTATAATTTTCCAATTCCCCGTTCTGCCAAATCATTTTTCAACAAATCCGATAAAATTTGCCCCTGATAAATTCGATGAAATTCGATGGCATTTATTCATGTAAACAGCTGTTCATTATGTATAGAAGAAGGGCTATAGAATGCAGATATGTTGGTTGTTAAAAGGGTAAACCCTTCGGTTTAAATTTGGAGAAATCCGTGTGTGAATTAGGAGAATTAAAAGGGTGTGGAATAATACTCACTTGCAGGTAAGTCCAGAAGGAAGATTTTGGCTGAAACGGCATGGGACGAAGAGGAGATGATGAGGAATATTAAAAATAAGATGAAGGCCAGGCATGTAGGTGACCCTGGCCGCCGAGCCCGTGAACGGCAATTCTCATGTTGCATGGTTGCCGACACGCGGACGGGCAGCTGTGCAGCGCGACTAAAATCCCGGCTGCTGGGCACAACTGCTCTTTCCACGATGCTACAAGTGGCTTCTCCCTCAAACGTTCTTTCGCTTGCACGCACAGAGCACTGGACTGACCATTTCCCCTTGCCACTTGTGCCCATACCTACCTACGCACTCCTCGTGTTATACCCCCTTCGAATCAATACTTCTACTGGTGCGTTCCCGTCCCACATTTGGGGTCTCAGAAATTTTTGCCCACACCGCTGCACCTATGCGCTTATGTTTGTATCCACGCACGCACGCTTGCCCTAGAAATCTTAGCCTATCAGCACGCTGGCAAGCTACAAGCCCGACATAGATTAGTATCTCAAATTTCTGATATAACATTCTATTTCCACCATTCCAAGCTAAATTTTACCATTTATCTTGGAACTGTAACTAAGAGCTGTGAACAAAATGATTAGACACAAAGGTTAATATTAATTAAGAGAACGATCGTTGAAAACAAGTTTTAAGTGACTAGTTCTTTTACCTTGACAACATCTAGATAATACTTTCATTTGAGTTCTATAAAAGTTTCGACTTACGTCAGAGGTTGAAACTATCCTGACTAAAGCTAGACGCTTAAATCTTCAGAGAGTGAAATTTGAATTTTCAAATTCATTTGAGTGTCACAAATCCTCTATTAACATTAAAAGTGTTCAATATGAGTAAAATATTAAGTCTTATGTAAAAATAGCCTAAGTTTTTGTTAAGGTGGGATAAAATGCTGTAAAAATTGCTTCCAAAATAGCAGAAAAAGGTAGAATTGATTTTGGCCCCGAGAAAGCCTTCCTGACCTACTTACACCGGGTTGGTACATACTTGATGGCTAAGTGTGTGCAGCTCTATTGCGCGTGGTATATTTCTGTGAGCTGATTGGTGTGTTTGCTAACAGGCACCCATCATCATTGGCTGGCACTTCTTATTGGTTGCATACAACTATTGTTTAAGCATCTTGTTTGCTTCACAATTGACATGGTTTGTTTAGAGGATTTTCACGAATTACTAGTTAGCATAGGGTTTTATTTTTTTTGAAAGTAATTGGTAAGCGGTATAGTTTTCCAAAATATGAATAACCCCCCCCCCCCTCTATATTCTTGACTAAGAAATAACCATATATTCTTTATCTCTGAAAGAGAGATGCGCAGGTTAACGAAATATTGACATGGCATTTTATTCCCCAAAAATCGAATCGATTTGCCCTGCCTTTAATTTCATATTTTTACTACTTGTTGTTTTTATTTGTGAACGATATTGTTTCATTATTTCGTAAAAGAGGTTTGACCTTTTATTCTGCATAAATATGGGAAAGCTTGCTTTCCTATGAGATATCAAATAATCTCCACTAGATCAAAATTTTTGTCGAATAGTAATTTTTAACTTCGTATGTCGAGTTTACTAAAAATGCCAATAAATTATCCCTCATTTTGAGAATAACAGTAAGCTGATACCTATTTTTAATTATGCATATAATGCTATATAATATGATTCTTGCCATTATCGTGCAATTTTCCTAATTTCTCTTGTACTTTTTCCATCACCTTGCAAAAAATGTGTCCTCCATTTTTCTATCGCCCTCCCCCCTACTGTTTTCTCCATGGGGTATGTTCCGTGAACTTGAAGGGGAAATATTGGGCTGGGACAGGGTCTGGCAAATATGATAAAAAAATGGTAGAATCTTCATTTTTAATTCGTGAATTTTCTGTTAGGTCATCCATTCTTTTCTGCCCAGACCGAGAGTTAGTATGTTTTAACAAATCGTAATGGATTATTTCACGTCCATTCAATCAGATCTCCAGAAGAATTTTCTTAGGGTTCAACCCTGAAATTAACGAGATGAAAATAAGGTTTACATTTGGAGGTAAATATGTATTTCGCTCCAAGGTTGATGTAAACGATCTGCTTCTCGTCCAGTAGTAATCATTTGGCATGGAACTGATGACTTCGTTGCTAAAAAGGGGGCAAGTAAGGAGAATTTTTTCTCAACGTGTCGTTGTTAAATTGTGAGTGTTATTGCGACGTCACCAAAAAATTCCATCTTATTCAGTTTACTTATGCGCTTCAAGTGTAATTGCACACTTGACCATGGATGTGGGAAATTCTGCGTTAAGGCTTCCATAGTTAGCAGAGCATCTGATTCAACCGGGAATTTCAATACCTAATCATCAAAATTTGCCTGTCGTCCTGATTTTGGTGATCCGATTTCAATCTTTTAAATCCCGCGTTGACTTCAATGGGCTGTTAGCACCTGACCAGGCATTTCAGTAGTACGTATTTCAGTAGCTTTGTAAGCACTCCAACTCTGTTGGGAGGAAGCAACACATAATGGTTGGCATGCTCTCTGTCAGTTTTGGAGTTTGGACATCAATAATGCCATAAATATTGCCTATAGAGTTGCTTCCTTCACCAGGTCCGCGCGCGAATTGAGCTCAAACAAATGCTTGGGAAAAAGGTGAAGTTTCTTATTGGCACCGCTAACATTTTTGAGGAAGTAATTAGAAAATCTTTTTTTGATGCATATTCCTAAGTAACCTCAAATCATGCGCCAACCTCCAACTCTTCCGCCGGTACATCCTCCTTTAATTCGTGCATACACCAACATTGCCATTCAATCACCCCTCTTATGCCATTTCATTGTTCACTTCCTTCTTACTGGTATTCAAGAGATATAACAAAATTTAAATAATTTTTATAAAATGCCAAATGTTATTTACCTGCACTTCAGTTGAATATGAAACCTCAGAACTGGATGTCCCAAGCTCCCTTGGAAGCACAGTATTGGTTGTCAAACTATCGACCACAGCTAATCGTGCGCATTAGCGGTTTACGGACTTACTGAATATCTTGTTTTGTTGATGGTTGCTGTAGTAATTAGTGGAAACTATGTAGGCACATGGAATCCGCGTCGTGGATTCATTTTATTCCAAGAGAAAGAGCTTAAGGCGTTGAATGGAAAGAGAAACAGGGTTGCGCGATAGACTTACCTCTACGAGGTTCACCCTGGGCAATGTACACTCATACGGCAAAAAAGTCCACAAATCGGTAGTTGACTTCCGACTTCAAACTACCATGACCCCACTGTATGCCATATTCCACCACTTCCACAGTACTCACATCACCTTACCTTTTTCTCTACCTTTGAGTTTGTCTATCTCAATACATCTGTGAATCATCCTCTTGTTCCCCCTCTCTCACTTGGATGTTCCTCCCCTCTATGAAGCCAGAAATCAAATAAATTGACCATGATAACTACCATAGATTCTTCTCATTGCTATAAATAGGTAAATAACAGTAGAGACCACATGAATCCAGAGTTTAAATAAGACCCTTTCTGATTTCATATCCTCAATAATTTGCGTAGAATTTGACCTTTTTCTCACTCAAGGACGTAATGTGAAAGATCTAACTTCCAGACAAAAAATATGGATATTGATTTAAAAAACCATGGCAACTTTTAGTGTTTTCTCAAATTTTGTTTAGCAAATTGAACTATTATTTAATCACTATTAGTAAAATGCAAGAAAGATTCCAACCTCTGCACATTTAAAGCTAAAATAATCCTTACCAGCTCATAAGGCAATATATATTAATATATAATTTTTAAGTCATTGAATGCAAGATTTTAAGCGATCCCAAACAGCATTGTTGGATATTGGGAGTAAAATGTGACTTGAATTTGCCCCCATTTCTGAGTCTCTTCCGCTCTCAACTGGATTTTTGGGTTTAAACCAGGGATAAATGGCATCCAATATTTACATCAAATGGCATGCGTCTTGATGCTTATCATTAGCCCTTAAGTTGACTTCAGGGTTCACAGAGAGGAGGAGGAACATCAAAGTGGAAAAATTCGAGAGGGGAGGGGGGGGGGAAACAGAAGAGTGTTCCAAAGACGAAGGTAGAAAAGGTAGAAAAAAGGTGAGGTAAGTNGGGAGAATATGCAACTGATTGTAAAACCTTACACCATTTTTATGCTTTTGCTTACCTGCGCTCTTTGCACTAAAAACACCTACAAAGAAGGGCAAAAAACATTGTAGTAACATATTCTTTTCACCTTCTAAAGGAAATAAGTTGCTTTTTACGCAGTGAAAGTGTAATATTTATTTATATCAAATGGCAGGCTTTATGATTATTTATCATTATCATTTTCACCTAAGTGAGAAAAATTCGAGGTGAACAGAAGAGTGATTTGAGGATGTAAATGAGACAGACAGAGAGACACAAAGGTAGAGAAAAGGGTAAGGTGAGTGCTGTGTATTGGCTGATTATGACATTCAGTGAGGTCATGGTTGTTTGAAGACGTTTGGAGGCAAGTCAATCGAGCGCCCCTGGAAAGTGTAGTATAGAGTCCTGAAAAAACACTTATTGTATATTGATGACAAATGGTTTTCAGGGAAATAGAATCTGATCATATTTGCACATAAATTTAACTATTAATAGCAAAGGCTGACTTCGAGTTAGTAATCCATTATATCATCTCGATTTCAAAGCAATTTATTCTTATTTGTTGAAATTTGATCATTTCCTGGCCTGGTCAACTCATAAAACATACAATCTAAAAATAAACTTGGTTAAATAGGAAAGTTTCACTTGTTAGAGGTGATCAAATTCAGATACATAACAAGACAGATTTTCTTTTGGTAAATCTAGGATTTTTGGCGAATTGCTATCTGAATTAATAAGCTGTGACTAAATACTTCAGTTATCTCTATAGCGATCTCTTCTAACTTGAAATGCCTTCCAAAATTATCTAAACTACCTCAACGATATCGAGGAAACAGAGCCTATGACCTTGAATGCTTTTACTGAGGTCGGGATGGTTATGTGACATGTCTTCCCATGAGGATAACCCAGAACTTGGTCGTTAAATACTGCTTCTTTGGGGACACTGACCCTATTGCAGAATGTTTGAGCGCGTACGAGGTTTCTTAGTTTGACCTTGCGGGAGCTGTGTACTCCACAACTTATTTATTGCGTGAAATTAACTACTTTGAAGACATGTCAACAAATTGAAATCAAGTTAATATTTATTTATTTCAAATGGCAGGCGTTTTGATAACTATCATTAGCCATTTAGCTGACTTCGGGCTTCACGGAGGGAAGGTTCATCAAAGTAGCAGAA